AAGTAATATACAAGAGACTTTCTCCAGCAATAAATTTTATTTAACAATGATGTTGAAAATGCACTACTGAACTGAAGGTTTAGTATAGTGATATTTCTTCCACCTCTCAAAGTGGGAGTTTAGGATTAACTTTGCATAAGATCGAGAAGAAAACAAAAAATAAAAGAACTCAAGTACTGAAAGTGTCCTAAAATTCCTCAAGAACCTCCAGCTCTAAGGCTAGGCAGGTATAGGGAGTTAAAGAGAGAGTTTTTTTAGATGGAGGGTGAATTTGAGAGTTATGATACTATAGCTATTGAAGAACTTAAAAGGGGCAAAACTAATAATGAGTGCAGATTTGTCATACTTAAACATTATCATCCTCTCTTTCATCATAGCTAATAATAAAGCGTATAACATGTGTCTCATGGCTCTGAAATAGTAAGTTGTATTACTCTGTTACCTCACTATCATTAGCTCACTTCAGTCAAAAAATGGCACCTTTACATTATTGAACATCACCCCCATAGAAAAAATTTCATGGTGGATGGCTCCCTCCTTTCCCCCTCCCCTCACCATTCCACCTCCTTCCTCCTTATCTATAAGCTCATTTCATGCGGAATGGAGGTCCTAAAACTCAAAATCGAATTATCTAAACAATTCAAGTTCCATTTCGTACGGACGATATCCTTAAACTCAGCATCATTAATTAAGTTTGATTTGATTCCCTGACTGGATGCATAAACAGCTTAGGCAACTTATTCTTCATTTTCATTATTCCACCCTCATTCCCATCCTTCATTGCTCCCTCTCCATATAAACTTTCACCACAATCTTTAGCATGTACTTGCACAATATTATTATGCAATGTAAAGAATAGATACTCGTACTTGGTAAGGGTGTCTTAGGGTGCTTAACACATTTATTGAGCGTAACCAAACCCTATAAGCTAATATAATCTCTTAGTTAGACAGACCCAAATGATAGTCATATATGGCATAACATTTCACATTCTTCGTCATAAGTGACCTAACACGTTCTTCATGTGTGACCTAACACATTAGAACGCAATGTTAGGTGCCGATTTTAAAATCTCATTCATTTAGCCTTACCATACCCTTTTTAATTTTATAGACCATAATTACCTGGTCGCATTTTTAAGTTCATGATTTTTTTTTTCTTAAGGCCTCCCATATGGGGATTAAGCCCGTATGAGGTATCATGGAGAAAAATTAGGTTGGGTGGGTTTTTTAACTTGAAAAACGTTGCTTGCACACACAAATAAAAAAAAAATATTACCGCCTGCTGCTTCTATTACTTTAAATACTCCGGGCTTCTCTACCATTTTCAATAGATATGTAGTTTCTCTCTATTTCTAAATCTCATTAGAAAGTAGGCTTACAGCTGTTGATCGAAGACCATCCGGCCGGCTTCTCTACCATTTTCAATAGATATGTAGTTTTCTCTCTACTTCTAAATCTCTTTAGAAAGTAGGCTTACAGCTATGGATCAAAGACCATCCGGGCTTCTCTACCATTTTCAATAGATCTGAAGTTTTCTCTTTACTTCTAAATCTCTTTAGAGATCAAAGACCAGATTGTATGTTGTCCAGGTATAGAAACTGTTTACAACTTATAGTTGTTTATTTAAGGACAAGAGTGAGTTCAAACTCTGTTAATCTCTCAAACTCTGTTAATCTGTTTCTCTCTGTAGAAGAAGCTTCAAAAGCATTTTAATCAAATTTTTTTAGATCTTATGTTTGAAGTTCGAACTCTTTTAATCTGTTTCTCTCTCGATAGAAGAAGATTATTGCGAAGAAACTGATAGACATCTCGTCTGATGTAGTTTAATTATTGACGTAGTTCATTTGAAACATCAAAAGCATTTTAATCAAATTTTTTTAGATCTTATGTATGAATTTAGGTATCACTTATAAGGATGTACATCGCAACATTCCGATAATAGTCGACATACAATACCTCGTTGTATTCGTGCATTTTAATCAATTTTATTGTTCATTAACATATATAAAAAGAAAGGTTTTCTCGATAGCTGACGAGTCTTCAGGTATCCTATAATATTGAATAGGGCTACTTTTTAACACTGAGTTGGGCTGGGCAACCAATTAAACCTGCTCCACATTTACACTATACTTTTAAAGAAAATGACACTTTTATCCCTAATTTTATAAATATATAATAATTTTTTTTCAAATATCACAATCACCCTTCTCCCTGTTAGGTTTGCAATGGATTACCATTGGTTTTAGACTCCTTAATAAATAAATAAATAACATTAGAGTAAGTAAAAAAGGTAAATAAATTAAAATTTATAGTACAAAGGGTAGTTAGGGTATAACGAAATAAGAAATGATGCCTTAATTAGTTTATGAATTTTTTTGTCATTCACTTTAAAAATAAAAAATAAAAAATAAAAGTGTAGCTTAGATGTAGAGAGTGGAGTGCGCCTCTTTTTCTTTCAAAGATTCAATATTTATATATTAAAAATGTCTAATGACTTAAAAGGTACCTTAATTGTGGTATTTTCATTCAAAAATTCAATCTTTGCTCATTAATCAAACTTACAAGCTCTCAAGAAAGCAGTCTCTTAAAAGTTCTCAAGCAAAAGGCTCAAAATCAGCTCTCTGGTGATCGATCGCAACTCATGTGTGATCGATCCTGCCTGCACAAGAATTTTTGCCTTCATTTTTCCTTCTCTATTGATCGATCGCAGCTTAACCAGGATCAATCCCGACTCACCCTTCTTGCCTATTACAGCTTATTCAGATACTGATTGGAGTGGTTCTATACCTGACAGGAAGAGTACTTCAAACTATTGTTACTTTCTTGCCGGAGGAGCTCTCTCATCAGTAGCATCCCTCTCCTATGCCTGCCCGACAGGAATGTCAGCACCGGCTGGTGGAAAGGGAGGTCCATCAATGACGTACTCCTCTCTTTGGGCCTTAGCGGAGATAATCCCTCTCTTAGAGACAATGTATCCCATGACGATTCCTTCTTGAACTATGAAATGACTTTTTTCCCAACTTAAAATCATATTTGTCTCCTTGCGCCTTTTGAGAACAAGCGAGAGATTATGGAGACAATCTTCAAAAGATGGGTACCTTTTCAATGTATAAAGATTGAATCTTTGAATGTGTGTGTGTGTGTTTTGTTTTATTGTAAGTTGATCTTATCTAACTTTGACAATTGTGGAGGGTAGTAATAATCCTTTCAAACTTCGACATCATTTTTCATCTGGAGACTCTGTGGGGAATGTTTATATATATGTTTGAATGATTTGAATGAACTTGAGAGATATGATGCATGAATTATTAATTAATCCTGATCTATACATGTTTAATTACTTGAAATAAATTATTGGGGACGTTTTTGGAAAGTCATGATGAGTACATTTCCTTAACAAATTAGATAATTCCAGGGATGTAGCCAAAGAAGGTCAGCAACAAACAGGTCCAGAACTCCACCTGCATCCTCACAACATAATTAACTTTTAACTAAAATCACACACGTATATGATGCATGAACTTGAGAGATATGATGCATGAATTATTAATTAATCCTGATCTATACATGTTTAATTACTTGAAATAAATTATTGGGGACGTTTTTGGAAAGTCATGATGAGTACATTTCCTTAACAAATTAGATAATTCCAGGGATGTAGCCAAAGAAGGTCAGCAACAAACAGGTCCAGAACTCCACCTGCATCCTCACAACATAATTAACTTTTAACTAAAATCACACACGTATATGAATAATACATAGAGAAATGTTTCTTTAAACAATAGAATTAATACATACACATATATATATGGGTGTGTTTGTGTGTGTGTGTTTATGTAGTTAACTAAATCATATTTTAAAGGGTGAAAAAAAAAAAAAACCTTGTATAATTCATTACAAAAGCAAAAACATGTGCCTAAGCACACTTTGACACACCCATATAATTCTGTATATTAATTACATACATGTATATACAAACATGTGCCTACACACACTTTGACACACACACACATATATTTGTGTGTGGTGAGAGAAGAGAGGTGGTGATTATTAATACCTGGCAACCAAACTTAAGGAAAACACCAAGAGGCAAGAGGATGTCAATGCAGTTGGCTGTTCCCTCATCTTGCCATTTTCCCCTTTCAAAACACAAAAAAAAATGAGGAAAATGATATCTAAAAAATATTTGACAGTAAAACAATCAGAACCTAAATGAAAATAAGTTGCTCATAAAAAGTATAACAAGTTTGTTTTAAATTCAATTCAAGTTTGAGTTTGATTTACTAATTTCATTTAATAAATGGTCAATCTCAAAGATTGTTGGACTCAATTACAATTAATAGTGAATACTGAACTAGTATGAGTTTACATGCATTCATAAATACAAGTCAAGTCAATAAACTAACTCGCCTTTTGAACTTGTCGGGTTATCGGACAAAGCAGAACTAACGACCTTCCGACAAAAAAAAAATACCAGAACTAACTAGAGAAAGACGAGTTTGTGTCGCAACTTATTAAAACATGTTTTAGCTTATTTGCTCTATCTCACATTTCATCTTTTTCAAAATTCATGAGAGATGATTATTAAATTATAATTTTAAGGATTAAACTCTTCATAAGTTCATTCAATAAATTAAAATAAAAAAAATAAAAAAGAGTAAAGGTTTTGAGAGAGACTTCTCATACGAAGAGGGCCGAACTTTTCGAATTATGAAATGATTAAAATATTTAATTAATTTTTCATATGTATCAAAAGTTGCCACAATCTAAGAATCCGCAAACAGTGCTCATAATTCGTACCATGAGAAGCAATTTTAGTAACATTATTATTAGTATTTTCATTATTTTTATTTTTATTTTATTTTTGTCAATAAAATTTTTTTTTATTCGAATCATAGTTTGAAAGAAAAGAGAGAAATTTCACCCCTAAAAATATACTACTATGTAACACTCCTCTGGCACAGTGGTACGCACCTTCCACCACTATTATCATTTGTCTCATTTTTTGAGAAATAATTTTCCATTCTCTTCCTTTCCTCTCATTTCTTTCTATCCCTTCGATCCAAACACAATACAAGGGTGACTGAAGCGGTAAACAATCTCCGTAGCCAATCACCAAGAACAAACTTCCCTTCCCATTGGAGAAATTGCGAAGTGAGTGTGTCTGTGACCAAACCCCATCCCATCAAAATCTCCCCATTTCAGGTTGCCTAGAGCGAGAAACAAAAAAATCTAGAGAGAGAAAGAGAGACAACCCATTTCACAGGCCTTCTGATCCTCTCTCAGTCCCATCTCAAACCCATCTCCGACCTTGCGAGCCGAGCGATTCCACCCACCCACCAACCATGTTCCGCCAAGCAGCCACTCGCCTCGTCCCCCGATCCACCCTCGCCGCCCGCTCCACGGCGGTCCGGACGTTCTCCACCGACCTCCCGGCGACTCCGGCGACCGATGAGAAGTTCGTCGAAGCGTGGAGGAAAGTGATCCCCAACATAGACCCACCCAAGACCCCTATGGCCTTCATGGGTCCTCGCCCTCCCACCCCATCTTCGATCCCTTCGAAGCTCACTGTCAATTTCGTCCTTCCCTATGCCCCTGAGCTCTCCAACAAAGAGGTGAGTCGTGCAAACCCTTGTTTCATTTGGGTTTCGTCTCGTTTTAGGTGATTTTGGTTTGAATTTACTGGAATTTCTGGTGATGAACTGTTAATCATTTCATTTTGATCTTATTTCACTGGGTTTTATTTGTTTGTGTTCATTGTCAATAATTTTATGTTAGTTCTTATGGATTTAGATCTTATCTGAAATTTTAATGCACCCCACTTCGATAGCTGGTAACGCGAGAGTGAATAGTTGAGTCTGTAAAGCTAACATATCTTCCGAGTATTGGATGACCTTAACTATTTAGTCTAATATTTTAAGTTTTTGTTTATTTTTGCATGTTTTGTTGGACATTTAATTTTTATTATCTATATTTGGGACACTTTATTTGGTATTTAATAGTTCAGTTCAATCAAGTGAACCTTTGATCCTTGTTTTACATTTACCTCATTTTATAATTGGACCTTTATCTATATCCTAAATTAACAATTATATGCTTGAAGAATGTACATATGGATTTTGTTTCCAGTCATTGTGTGCGAAGTAAATATTATGCATAGTTTTCTTGAAGATGCTTCATACCCCTTTATGGATGTTTCAATCTTTATTGTCTTTTCTCTGCATTTAACTATCATTGATTTGTGAAAATGACACTAAGAGAATATTTAATTCAATTTAACTCATGTTAACTCAACAAAGCCTTGTTTGAAGTTTGAACTATATGAGATAAACTACAGCATTCCTGTTTTGTTACTCCACTCTCTTTGAGGTAAATTTAGCTAAAGCACATGCTATCACATCTTCCCATACTATCCAAGTTTAAATTGGGTCTTGACTTCCCCTTAGGTTTACACTTAATGTGATCCATGTCATTCTTTTTCACCAACATGGTTAGTAGTCTTCACTTCATATGGGCAAACCATCTTAGTGCTATCTCTCTTTTTTCTCTCCAATGGATGACTTTTTTTCCCTTCTTACCAATATATTCATTTTTACTTTTATCTTATTTTTACCTCACATGCTATATCAGCATTTGGGTCTTACTTATTTTATAAATATAGTATTTCTTAACCACTCAGTATCTTAATTAATAAAGCATGTTTGGTCTAATAGTTTCGTAGAATTAACTTTCAGTTTAAGTACATCAATCACACAAAACTGTAAGGCGGAAGCTAGATTTGGGTTGGGCTGACAGCCTGTTCTGGATAAGAATGAACAGAGATCACTTATGATGTTAAGCATATAGCTATAGCCTTACTTGAATAATGAGCAAGTGCACTTTAGGATTAGAACTGCTGGAGCAGTCTTGCCTCTATCATTAGCTCGGGTAAACTCTTTGGGCTAGGAAAAACCTAGGAATAGGCTACCGCTGGGGAGGGATCCTTTCCTAACTAATTGTCTACTTGGCCATATATTTTTGTAAATAATCAAACTGAGGTATCAAAACTGTTTGCTTTTTGGTATCTATTACCCTCGCTATTTAATACATCCCCATATGTTGTCCTACTTCTGCTAAAATCACATTTCATATTTTTAGTTTTATTCCTGCCTGTTAAGCCTCTTGATTCCAGAACTTCTCTCGAAACCTCTAGTTTTACATTTATCACTGTTTTACTTTCATCAATTAACACAATGTAATCAAATAGCATGTACTATGGAAATAATAACATTCTCAATTAAAATCAAATTCGTAGCAATAGATTCTAGCTAAACCCAATGTAAATTAAGAACTTGATTGGATTTGAGGATAAGACGTTAGCATTAATTCCCTCTACCAATTCACGTGGATTTTTATTTTTTATTTTTGCAAGTATATGTTATCTTGAATTATCATCAAATTCTGGGCCGCCTCCAAACAAATTTGTTTCCCTATCTTTGTGTATGTCGCTTTGTCAACTTCTAGTTTGTTTCAATTCTTATTGAAGAATTAGTGTACTAATATGCCAGTATTGATGTTTCATGCATACAAGTTTGTGGTTATGCATGCTTGTGAAATGGTGAATATAGCTTTCCCATTACGATGTCTGTTGAGGATTGGATTGCTGCTGCAGCGAAAGTTGAGGGTTAGCTTTTAAATATGAACTTTATTCCTCAACTGTTCCCTCTATTAATTACCTATAAATTTTAAACTCTGCATGCATATCTTTTTATAAGTTTACAGATTTGATACTTCCATTTAACAATCTGTCCTTCAAAACTCCTTCCCTTCCTCCCCACCCCCAACCCCAACTCACGAAATAAAAAAATAAAAAAATAAGTAAAAATTCAGAACAAAGAAAGAATAAGAAATGTATAATGAGGTCAGTTGCTATTTGTTCAACAAGATATGGCATGAAATTGGTGTTAGATTAGATTAATTATTTCAAATAGGAGTTTTTGCCTTTGTGCTAAGTGATGGCTCTTTCCTAGCTAACCATTTTATTATACGCTTTTTCCTATACAAGAAGGGTAAATATTTAAGGACTCACGTCTTCAATACAATACTCTAGAAAAACTTCCAGTACCTGCTTCCCATCCTTCAAAATACACTTTTTCCTTGGTGAGTGCCTTAAAATATAGTTGCCAAAAATTCTCTTTTTCCCTTTATTAATGGACCATCAAATCCCGATGATAGCAGTCAAAGTATCTCTCAGTGGACTCCGAGCTTTTGAGTTCTTTATCACCACATGGCCAGTGAAGATTTTATCCTTCTTTACTTGGGGAATGGATATTCATACCTCCAACTTGTTCATTCCCTCTTAAAACCTCTAACAAGATCCACTCTTTCCTGCTCCTATGAAAATATGCCGATCACATTCTTTAGTACCTAGAAAGAGGATTATGGATAGCAATGTTTATGGTCGTAAGCTTACTCTAAGTGAAAGCTAGTATTTTTTGCTTGTGTTTCAGCCCCTTCACATTCTTAATTAACGACAGATTGGCTTGTTTTTTAGTGTGTTCGGCCAAGGCATGTTCGAGCTTAGCTTAGCATTATTCAGTCAAGCTCGGTATGGCTTGGCCTTGTTCGGTCAAGCTTGAGCACAGCTTGGTTCAAACTTGTTTCATGTGCTATATGTATCCCTATTACATTTATATTTATAGCTACACATTTATTGGTATATTTATATATACGTGAGTGTGTGTTACAGACAACGGAGTAGCATATTTGAGAAATGAGACGTCATTATATCTACTCTCACTTCTTGGCACTTTGAGATAGCTTTCTGCTTTAGTAAACCCTTCTTGGTAAAATCAAACAATCCTGCAGGGGTTTGCCTCTTATTTAGGAAATTTCAATAGAAAGCATGGGCTGATAGATGAGAAGATGAGTTTGAGTTTTAAAATATTGAAGATGAAGCTGGAGAAAACTGCCAGGAAGATAATCAGTATATCTTTTCCCCTCTTTTTTCTCTCTCTTATCCTTCCATATTCCAAAACTATCATCTCTCTCCCAGACTCCCTCCCACCTCTCTCATCTCTCTATTCCCTTCGCTTACTTTCAAAAAAAAGAGAGAAAAAAGAAACAATTTAGAGATTATAAACCAGCAAAGGCGTATTTGGATAAACATATTCATAATTAACTAATCCAGGTCAAATCTAAATGAGCCAAGCCGAAGCTGAGTGGGCCAACCACTGTCTTGTTCAAGCTAGATTTCTTTACTAAACAAGATTGAAAGTTATGCTTGAGGTTATCTTGTTTAATAAAAGAGAGCTTGAATGAGGCTTTAAATGAGCCAAACCCTCAACTGTTCATTTTCCGCTCACTTTGTCAAAAGATTCTAGTATTGAACTTTTTGTTTTATAAGTAAAAGAATCTAGTATTGAACTTATTGGTGTATTTAGTTGGATTTCACTTTTCTCATTGTAACAACTTTGGAGCTCTTGCAGCCATGTTAACTTATTGAATACGGATCAATTTATGTTGCCCATTATGGTTTGTGTCAACCTTGTGGCTTGCATTCACCCTTTTTAGTGCAAAGACTGTACATTTGGGTTATTCCTTCTTCCTCTCTCCCCCACCCCCCCCCCCCCCAACAAAAAAAAAAACACATTCCGTGTACTAGGATCTTTGGTCAAGGTTTTAGATTTCTGCTGCTTGGCGAACCCAGATTGTTAGTTATGAATGGGATTTACAATATCTAAAGTCAAATTGTCTTACTCCTAAGCCTTAAATTTTGGTGCTTCAATGGGAAATCTAGTTGTCAAGTTTTAGGAAGTTGAAAATAATTTATTTGACCATGTTTCCATTCACACCTTCAATGATAATATAAATTTTCAATTCTGAATTTTGCTATCCATGGAGAGCTAGACGGTGGTTACTGTAAAAGCCTGTTTCCTAAGAATCATTTTGCCCAGTGCTCGTCATTATTTAATTATTTATTTTTGGTGGGTATAGCAGATTTTCTTTTAACTACCTACCTAAATTCTTTGTTTTTTATTTTATTTTTTATTTTTATCACAAATAGTAGAAAAAGGTCTTCTACTCTGCTTTCATTGTTATAATTTTTGACAATGCTTTAGCTTTGGAGTCCCACTTATATATTTTCCTTAATATATTTTAAACTTTGTAATGCTATTAAAAGATATGATTGAACTAACCTCAGTCAAAAGATTTTACAATTGGTGTCTTGTTTTCCAATCAATCGATGGTGCATGATCATAATCATCATCATACTGCTGAATGATTTACTTATAGGCACACGTATGCCTTCTTTGAGGATTTCTTCATTACTTTTGGTTTAGTGGGGTTTATTCTTTGTAATTTAGGTGGGTTTTAAATAATTCCACAAGTAAATTCTATTTGTATTTTTGGCCGACATTGTATGATCAGCTTTGAATGTGAGAACTTCTTTAGTTATCCTGTTAGATTACATCTTCAAAATTTATATAGGTGAGTTTAGCAAGAGAACTTTTGATTGCACTTAGCAAGAAAAATGCTTGGAAAGGTTTCAGTTTCTCAGTTTTAAATAGAAACTGGCGCTGAAGTTGGGTAAAGATGAGTTTATACAACACAAAATTGTACGAACAAAACCATTAAACAAGTTCTACTCTTATTCTCAGGTCAAGAAAATTCTTTAGATCAGGAAGTGATATCCTTTTCTTTTTCCTTATAGAACTCAGCTGTTTTCTTTAGCTCATGATTCACTGGCACTATCCTACCTATTTCAGGGGGTGATTGTTTCAAACACTAGCCTATTTGGAACACTAGAGTACATAACACACCCAAATAAGCCCCACATTACATGTAATTTAGACAAATCAAGATTTCACAGAGTACTTAATGAAATTGAGAAGAAGTCAATTTAGAAATATAAGGCCAATGTATACTTGCAGCACCTGAACTCACTACATCATATGATGTGGTGTTGAGCATCGTAGACATGAACAAAAGCAAATATGGCTGGACTGTTTTCCTGTTGAAGTGACCCCTGAAGGAGGTATGTTTTTCCTGCTTGAGATAATTCAGCGAGGAGGTCATTTGGACACTTCATATAATTGAAATCCATTCATTTTGGTTATTTTAATATTCGGGCACAGTATCATCCATTAGAACAGAGTATTTTTATTTTCTGGAAATTAATATTGCCAATGAAATTAATATTAAGCGTTGGAACTGCATCAGTATTAAGTCCTAAAACTGTATCCAGGAAGGCCCGAGCCTAACCTCATCTCAAATGCTACAGGGAAACAGAATTCACCCTTTCTTATGTTATGGAACCTGCAATGATACTGACATACGGTTGTTTACTATATTTCATTTTATTTGTTTTTGATATGTTTCCTTTATATTGAAATGCAAAGCTCAGGGGATTGAAATATCTGCAGAGTGAAGTAGACATTTAAAATATTGATGCTATGTCTAAATTAGATGGCATTTTATATGAACTTGTCGTATCAAAAGAAAATATCTGTTGAACTAAAGGGAAAAGGGGAAGAGCATACAGCTATCATCGTCTTACTTTTAGATATGTGGGGGTTACAGGTTGACATGGTCATAATACCAGCAACAACTGGGCAGATGGGTGTTCTTCCTGGACATGTAGCGACAATTGCAGAGCTGAAACCTGGGGTTATGTCAGTGCATGAAGGGAATGATGTGACGAAGTATTTCGTCAGCAGCGGGTTTGCATTCATCCATGCAAACTCTTTTGCAGATATAATTGCGGTCGAGGCCGTGCCGGTCGATCGAATAGATCCAGCCCTGGTCCAAAAGGGGCTTGCTGAGTTTACCCAGAAGCTGAGCTCGGCCTCAACCGACTTGGAGAAAGCTGAAGCCCAAATTGGAGTGGACGTTCATAGTGCTCTCAATTCAGCTCTCACAGGCTAGTGTTACTAGTCTGTGCTCCTTAATTTGATAATTCCGAAAATTCTCTTTTGGCCTCTTTAGACTGCCTCATCAACTCAGATTTGTCTCACAGCCGAAACTGCTTTGAATATCTTTGTTTTGTTTTTTCCTTCCCTTGTTGTTGAATGTGGAAATGATAAATCATCTCTGAATTAATTTTATTGTGTGGTCTCCGTGATTTTGAGAAAAGTTATAAACGAGAGAAACTATGCATTTCTCTTCCCTTCTTTTTTCTCCAGCATCAGTCCTCTCTGTGAGAGTTTTTATCTTTTAGCTTGGTGCCGTTACTGTGTCTTGCACATCCGTGAGCAAGAAATTTTCTACACAAAAAATAATGACGGTTGGATATGATCAAAAAAAAAAAAAAAAAAAACATACCATTCATATCTAACGGTTAGTATACTCTGGGTGGAGAAAGTTTCTTGCTCACCCGTGTGCAAGAATTCATTTTTGTGTCAACATATTAGTGTTATGTATCAAGAATTATTGGGGTTGAATAAGCACAGAAGTCTTTTTATCACATGGATGGACAGATGATGATCATCTGTTCAACACAATTTTGAGGTTCATCGACTTCGCTTAAAAGTTTATATGTCATTGGAATTGCTAGTGATTGTGAAAATTTCAAGACTTCTTGTACAAATTTTCTGCCTATGATTGGAAGAAGTTCTGGATTTTGTAGGCTGAATTTCCTGCTGATTTTTGTGGAGATATTTCGTATTCAGAGCTTGCTTTGGTATTTCTCTTTTATTATATGATGTTACACATCATTTTTTTTAATAGTTTTTTTTTTTCAACGATATTCACCTTATAATTCACCCACAGGGACCACAGGGTACGTGTAGTATCCTCATCTTACATACAATGGTTTGAAATATTAGTCACCGTTGTGGTATCGGTCGTGATTGCGGTGTAACTGACTTCGACAAAGTTAGTGTGAACTAGTCGATACGGGTAGCATATCGGATGATACAACGAACCATTGCATCAAGTAGTTACTGAAAAAATTCAGCTCAAGGGATTCAAATTCCCCACCTCCTTGTTATTGGGGTATTTCTTTGGAGTTGACATCAATATTTATTTGGATGGAGAAACAATAGGGACTACTGGCTAAAATATCTGCAACTAGCACCAAGACTTGAAAGACTGGATTGCAATTAAAATATCTGCAACTAACACTAGAACTTGAAAGATTAAGACTTGCTTGCCATTAAAATTTAGTTGATATTTGTAGACAAGAAACAATGTGCTGCTTTAACTTTAAAAAAAAAAAAGCAATGTGCTGAGGTTCTCTCTTCATTGTTGAGATCAACTCTGAATATTATAATCAAATAATTTCAACTTGAAGCTTTATTAATTATCAATAAACACAATTAGGTGTATTTTATTATTTTTGGGAGAGAACCAAACTTAAAAAATAAAAAATAAAAAATACTGGTACCAGATGCAAATGACTTAGATATTGTGTGTCAGGCATATCAAGTTATTGGTGTGTCGGACCATATCGGTTATTAGTATATTCGGTCGATGAAAATTAATATGAACGGTTTTTAAAAGTAATTTCGGTCAATAAAAATTAATATGAACAGTTTTTAAAAGTAACTCGAATCAATTTTATAAAATGATACTACAGATATTTTTATTGACCGACTACATCAGTGACGTGACGTGATATGTTTGGCACACCAAATATCTTTTTCGATTATAGAGAAGCTCACATTAGCTCCGCCACATGTAATGGCCACTCATTTTAATAACCCATGGCGGCACACTCCCAAATTATTTGGAAGTACAAGTACAACCACCAATAATTGAAGCTCATTCCAAAAAATAACAATAAAAAAATAATAATAATTGAGACTCATACGATCTCCACCTTGATTGCACTAACCCTGAGATGATTGCACTAACCCTCAGATGTCATAACTTTTTTTTTTTTTTTTTCCTACGATAAATTGGTTTGAAAGAAAAACTAAAATTTAAACTAAATTATGTGAGGAAACGGTGTGGGCCAATTTAATCCACATCCAACTATTTCAATAAAAAATGTACATCAAAAATAAATTTGACTTGGAAGGAAAACAACGAAGTTTATGTTTAAGAGCATTTAATTGAGTATTTGAATTTAAAATTTATTTTAATTTTAATTTTAAAATATTAATTTAGTTATTTTAAATATAATGTTGTTATGTTTGGGAGTATATGAATGTTTTGAATTCAAAATTTAAGTTAATTTTTTTTTAATTCTAAATTTAAGAAGAGAATTTAGTATTCCCAAAACTACGCGTATAATTATCATTGCCTGAAAATTCAATTTGTGCCCAATCAAGAACTTTAATCATCAACAAATACACTTGGATTATTTTATTATGCAGTTGCATTGGGCGGGTTTTAATAAAATAAAAGTTAGAAAAAAGAAGCAAATTAGAAAAAGCAAATGATTTTTTAAATAGCCTATCCCACGTGTAGTCGTGTGAGGAAGCACAAGTGGATCCACCAATAATTGATCTCCACGCGGGCTGTCCTGAGCCTTCACGATCTCAGCCGTCGATTGAACTGACCCTCGAGAACCGTGACACCTCCAAGAACGTCGATCGAGATAACAGTGACTTTTGTCAGTTGGATGCCACGTACCGTGGGTGACTATTATTGGGTGCTTCGCTGGGTGGGCTTACGAGGTCGCACGTGTACGGGCAAGAGAAAAAGATACGTTGGAGTGTAGTTGCCCTGTGTTTACGGGCAGACCTTTCGGGCAGCGGAGACAATGACCTCGGGAATGGAGCCGCATGTAGAGGTGGGTCCCACTGTCGTTAATCTTTATTGTTTGCATTATGGGGTGTGGGACCCATGGGGCCCACGTCTACTCGACTCCGATGTGGTATGGAGACAGGACAGAGTGACCGGAGACTCTAGAAAAGTCCTTTTACAATTAAGTCCCCAAGTTTGATGAAATATTTCTCCTCTGGCCCAAAACAAGTTTGAATTATCAATCATACCTGAACTACTTTTTCTCTCTTTTCTTTTTCTTTTTTTTGAAATTTGTAATGTTAATCACATTAAATAATATTATTTATTCTTTTATCAGTATAATTTGATTAGGTTTGAATTGTCTACCTGCCAATCCAATCGGGGATGTTTTAGGAAATATTAAATTACAATTTTTTTTTTTTTTTTGTGATTTTATTAGAATCACTCCTCTCAATTACAAAAATAAATAAATGAGTACTAAGATTAATTTATATAGTTTAAAACCATGTTATCTTCCTTTCAAGCATAATTTACACCATATTTTTTATTGGCTTAAATAGGGATCTCTTGGCTAAAGTGCTTTCTTTGACTTTATCCTCCTCCTACTTTAATTAGTCGCTTTCATTTGTAGAATTTCTTATTTAATTTGTTTTCTTGCTTTCTTTTTTCATTGGTTGTTGTCATTTGTAGTTGTAGTCAAATATAACAAATAAAAATTTAAAAATCAATAATAAAAATAGTTATAAAATAATACAAACGAAGTAAGACCGGAAAGAGAATTAAACAAGAGAGTCAAAGAAAAAAATAAAAAATTTCCATGCATTTAGATTTCGACTTTAATTTATTACTACGATAAGTTAATACTACGTACTGGCACGGATCTACAGAGAGCTCAGGGCCGAGACAGCATCATAAAAAACAAAGTCAACTTGTTTGTATATTGGTTGGTGAAAGCGAGAATTAAATTATTATTGTTCTGAATTAAATTAAAGAAGAAAAAAAAAAACATTTGAATTGCAACCCAAAAAATTACACTATGAGGGTTCATCTGAAGAGAATCTTAGCAATGTACCATGAACCAAAAGAATATCAAAGTTGATGTATACATAAAAGATACCCATAACATGGAGGACTAAATAGCAAAAAGTGCTTTTAAGACGAGTTTGGTGGCCAATGGATGCAAGATGCATGTACTTCAGTCACTGGATTCAGCCCCTTGATTCTAGAAAACCACTGCAGCTTCAATTCTTTTTAATAAAGGTATTCCCAAGAATCTCAACCAATCAAAATTAGAAACCTGTATAGTTGTGGAAATCCGATTGGTCAAGACCATCTGAGTTCACTGGTCCATGATCTATCTGATTCTCAACCCCCTTGGCTTGCTTTCAATATATAAACACCTCTGCCCATTCATTGCCTCTTCCCACAACCCCCCTCTTCCTCTTCTCTTTCACTCAACATCTACGCCCCAGGATCATCTTAGCAACCACCACAAGACAATTCACCAGTTTCTTCTTCAAACTCTGTAGACAATGAAGTCAGCTTTATACTACGCGGGGTGTGAAGAGCACCACCACCAATCCCATTTTCTTGAAGCTTGTTTTCTTTGCCATAAGCCACTAGGCCACAACAGTGACATTTTCATGTACAGGTTAGCTTTTTCTCAAATCACTTTTTGACCCAACTTTAATCACTTCAATTATGCGTTTCTCTTCTTCTTTTTTTTTTTTTTAATTTTATATATATATATATATATATATATATATATATATATATATCTAACAAACATCTATAATACCCATGTGTGAATTTGCAAAAAAGAAATTAGCTAATCAAGAACAGAAAAATTTAGTTCACCACTTTTGTCTCTGATTAGGAAATTTTCTGATTTTTTTTTATTCGTTTTCTTTATTTATTTTTAATGTGAAAAGGTTTGATCTTTTCTTATGGATTCATAGGATTCATAAGAAAACAGAATCAATCTATAATAGCATCTTGTTGGATTCTGAATATCGAATTGGCGTTTTAAAATTGAAATTAGAAAAAGATGATGTTGAATTTGGGAGCATCAAATCAGCCTCTTAAAAGTAAAATTGGAAAAAAATTAGTTACATCTTTGAACTAAATTTTATTTCATTTAAATTTTAAGACTTGTACTAAATTTTTTTTTTTTTTATTATTTAAATTCTAAAAATAGCTTATGTGTAATCACACCCTAGGATTCACACACACACATCTATATATAAAGTTCTGCTAGAATTCATTAAAAAAAAAAAATCCATTTCAATAAACTTGTGCGAGAAAATATTGTACCCTAAATTATTTAGGGAAAAAAGTACCTTTTTTTTAGTGCTATTTATTAGAGAATAGAAATAGATTGTTAATTGTGTGTTTGAATATAATTAGATTATGATTTACTGAACAAAAAAATGGTTGTATATTGCAGAGGGAACACTCCATTTTGTAGCCAAGAGTGCAGGCAAGAACAGATGGAGATAGATGAGGCCGCAGAGAAGAAGAATTGGAAGCTCTCAAAGAGAAGAACATCAACATCATCATCGTCATCATCTCACAGACAAACTACAGACACTGCGAATCAATCTAGCCCTAGCAAACCTGTACGGACAGGCACAGTTGTGGTGGCTTGATTTGAAGATGATGATGATCACAAGATAAACAAAAATCAATCTCACACAAATTTCCCCACAATTAAACCTCTTTAACTGAAGAAAATTGATGAGGGAATTCAGTTTGATGATCTTGTAAAGGAATGGTGGGCGTGAATGAGTGGGACCCATCAGACAATTTTGATTGTTTTTGGTGTTTCTGATTTTTGTTTTTGGTGAATGTTTTTGTTTATAAGATGAGTGTCCTTTCATGGGATGTAATGTATTCATCTCTGTAATCAAAGTTAATTTCCCTTATTGTTTTGTAATATTTATGAAGCAATTAGGCATCCAAATAATTTTCATTATCAAGGTGTGTCAACAAAAGCTTAATCAGATTTATTTATTTATTTTGAGAAAATCATATCAGAAATGCTGAATTGCTATTGGGCTTAGGCTATGTTTGGTGGCATCAAATTTGCAATTGAAAAGCAATTAAGAAATGACTTTAATTTTATGTAGTCCAATTACGCTTTAGAAATTGAAATAAAAAGAAATTTAACTATTTTTTATTTTCAATTCTAATTTTAAAGTATTTTTTGTGATGAAGGTGTGTCAACAAAAGCTTAATCAGATTTATTTATTTACTTTGAGGGAATTATATAAGAAATTCTAAATTACATTCATATTACGATTAGGCTATATTTTGCTTCATAGAATTGAAAATTTGAAATTAAAAAGCAATTAGGAAATTAAATTTTTTTTTTTTTTCAATTTTTAGGACAAGTGCAGAAACAAACATATACTTACAGTGCATATCACATCCCTCACTGAAAAACATACCTCTAAAGTTTCAATTTTGTGCAAGTAGGTCCTAAATTACCACTGAACCATTTTATAAAATATATAAAAATAAATAATTTTGTAAAATGATCGAAAAGGACACTATTGGAGGATGTCAATCTCCTACAAAAAAACACCCCTAAAGTTTCAATCAGGTACAAATAAATTTAAACCCTATTAGAGGACGCCGGCAATGAACAAGTAAAGATAAAAATATAAATAAATAAATAAAGTATAAAAAGAAAAGTAAGATAAAAATAGAAAAAAAAATAAAAATAAAAATAAAGTGCAAACTAAAGAAAACATAAATTTTCCAAACTCCGAAAACTAATACACACTGATATTGAGAATTTTTATTTATTTATTTATTTGTTTAACAGTGTTGGTATGAAAAAAAAAAAAAATTAATAGAAAATAATAAATTGGAATCTCAAAAAATTCTAATCATTATTTTACAAATTATCAAAGTTTTTTAAAATATATTTAGAGATATATATAGAGAAAAAAGTTTTAAAAAAAAATAAAATAAAATAATGCCCACATAACACCCATATACTATGAGATTAGTAGTATATATACCTCTTTGGGCATTTTCAGAAGAGTAAAATGGCAAAACGGGTATTACAACACTAATTTATGTCCGATAGGATATTTTTGCATAATGTAAAAAGATTATGAGTGGTTTTTTACATACTTTTTCAAATAAAAATAAAAATACTATGCGAAGTATACTTTAGGGAAATTATGTGTGTTTTCTGCACGTGTCTATTTTTCAATTCTTATTTCAAGGCTCTAATTTCATGCAATCGAAAACACTTTTGAAATTGAAATAAAAAAAATTTTAACTATTTTTTTTTTTCAATTCTAATTTTAAAGTTCGGTTGTCTTAAAGATATTATTTCTTCAATGAAATCAACATATGAATCTAGGGTTTCGGTTGTTATACAGACTTATTTTCTTTCTTTCTTTCTTTTTTTTTAACTTTAAAAGGTGAAAAGGTACTCTATAATCACAAATCTATGGTGAAATTGATATTAAAATTTCACCTATTTTTATTTGTTTATTTGTGAAATTTCACCATAAATTTATTATTACAAGTGATGAATTTCACCAACTACGAAAAGTTGTTACCGGAGAGGATTGGAGTTCTGGTTTAGGACAATGTCTGGCATATGCTAATTAATTGTTGGTATTCATTTGGTTCTGGAGCAAGAGACAAACAGAACCAAGAACAAGAAACCAGAAAACCCAACAACAAAAACACAAAACACCTCAACCAAGAATAGACGCAAGATCCTTGGCAATAACAGAGAGGAGCCAATTGGGCCAGATGTCCCACAAAAGATTCGAGGAGCGAGAACGGAGGGAAGATCGGCTGATGGCATGAGCCACTCCATTACACAGTCCAATTTGTTTTAGTTTATTGACAGTTCAATTAGGCAGCTGCTTTTTTATGGGTATGCATACTTGTACAAATTTAGATAAGCCAGCCAGGCATTTCCAAAAACAGTAGAACATGGAAAATACTTTTCAAAACTTTTTCAAAAATAAGAATTAAGTTCGATAACCAAATCAAAATAAAATTATCAATATATATTGATGAAATGACATCACCTGAAACTCACATAAACATATTTATTGTTATTTTAGACTTTTAATTTCAATTTTCAACCACGTTTCTCTTAGAACATCTCCTTTGAAGATGGGTATTAAAATCCGAAGCTAAGGAATATTGTCAAGCCAATTCCATGTCAAATTCTGCATCTCACTAATAGTTCAGCTTAGTTTCTAAAAATGGAGTGAATTCTGGTATAATAGAGAGCGTGTAGTAGCTAAGAAGTGTAAAATGAATGAGTGAACCCTATTTCTGGTGGCACACACCATTTTAGATCATCCATCACTAATTCATTGCTTCTAGTTGGGGCATTCTTAAAATTTGGGTAGAAGGGGATTCTCAAATCTCTATCTTCGATATCAACAAGAGAATTGCGCAAAGGAAAATGCTTTTCAAATTGAAAACTAGTTGAAATCCAATAGTGACTAATTTATATATTAAAAAAGACTGATATTATTTCAAACTTGCATAAATATATCTACTTATATGTCAAAGGCGGTGATACTTTTTCACTTTCCAAATTAAAAGGTTGATAATTCAAGTTTCCACAAAACCAACGTGGTTGTGTAAGTTTCAGTATAAAAGATAAATAAAAATCTGAGTACTTATTAAACCTTGCGTGAAAGTATGTTACTCCAAATTTGGGAGTCAAAGAGTTTTATAAGACCACTTCCTAAAAAAAAAATTGTAAATGAAATATTTTAACGTGGAACTAGCACGAAGAAATTAACAATACTTCTTTATCTTTTATCTTTTGAGTTGTTCTATCAGATCGGTTGGGCTCAACATCTTTGGTCTCTACCCAGACCGATAAAAAAAAGCTCATTCTCAATTAGTTTTGGTTTGATGGTCTGTGGGATAAGATACAAGTCCATTCCAGTTGAGCAGAAATCCCCGTGTTCATTAGGCCCAAAAGTTACCTAGCTAAGCCCATTATCACTTGGGTCTGTAGGCTATGAGATACAGGTCATCACAATAGAGCATAAAGCCCAGTTTTCAATGGGCCTAAAATTTACCTACCTTAGCCCATTTATCACAATATTCAAAATCTATCCTCTTCTAACGTATCACTTGCTGTCCCCAACTTTGCTACAATGCGCCGCTCAACTTAGCTGGGGAAAACCACAAACCCAGACACGACGTTCACCGGAAAACATTCTACGGCGAGTCTCCGGTGAAACTCCGGATGTTTGCTGCTGTGCGCCGTGTGCGCAGGATTATCAAGGTGAGTTATACTTTCCCATTTGTCCCTTCTCTCTCCAGAATATTCACTTCATACTCTTCGCAAACCCTAATTTCCCATAGTCTCACCCTACGCATTAACCTAAATTTTCAACCCACACACTGTTCTTGTAGTTCGTATTGTAGTTCAGCATCTTCATCTGCTGATCAGAATTTCAATTCTCTTGAACAATTTTTGCCTATTCGCAATTTATCAAATACTTCAGACACTTGTATAGTAAATTCAAATGAGAGGCGTAAGATTGTGGTTGGATTATCCAAGATGATAAAGCAACAGCAAGGTTATATTTTGAAGGGTTTTTCACAAAAATTTTGCCCATTTTTTCTTGTAGAGATCATGAATTTGTTCGAAAATCGACAAATTGCGTTTGCATTTTTCAAATTCGTATTTCGAGATGATTCAGAGGGAATAGTGCAGTCTTGTTGCGTTGCGGCCCATCTTTTATCGGTGGAGGGGTTACGATTTTTGGCACAAGATGTGCTTTCATGGGTAATTGTTAGAATTGGGTTTTGTCGTAGTAGGGAGCTGGTGGAGTTTATGTGGAGAGGGCACCTCAAGTACGAGTCGGATTTCTCAGTTCTTGATTCGCTTATGCGGGCTTTCTTGAATGCAGAAATGGTTCCAAGGGCATTGGAGATGGTAGATAGGATGAGGGAGAATGGGCTGGGGCCGAGTCCGTCAGCTTCCACAATTCTTTTCAGATTGTTGTTTAGAATTGGTGATTATGGTAGTATATGGAAGTTATTTAGGGATATGGTTCTTAAAGGGCCCCGCCCTTCAAATTATAATTTCAATATGATGATTGTTGGGTTTTGCAAAAATGGGTATCTTCAAATTGGAGAGAGTTTGTTACATGTCATGAGGAAGTACCAATGCAAACCAGATGTTGTTACGTATAACATTGTGATCAGTGCAAACTGCATTAGGGGGCGAACATCAGAGGGGTTGACTTGGTTACGCTTGATGGTTGAAAGGGGTTGCAATCCTAGCACTGTTACATTTAGTACACTTATTAATGCCTTGTGCAAGGAGGGAAATGTTGTGGAAGCAAGGAAACTCTTCGATGGAGTTCAAGAATTGGGTGTTGTCCCGAACACCACAATGTATAACACTTTAATGGATGGGTATGTTAAGGCTAGGGATGTTAGTCGAGCAAATATGCTTTATGAAGAAATGAGGAACAAGGGTATAGCTCCTGATGGTATAACTTTTAACATTTTGGTTGGTGGACATTACAAGTATGGAAAGGAAGAAGATGGTGAGAGGTTGTTAAGGGATTTATCCATGTCGGGTTTGCTCCCAGATAGTACATTGTCTGATGTATCAGTTGCAGGATTGTGTTGGGCTGGACGGTTGGACGAGGCTTTGGAACTTTTAGAGGATATGCTTGAGAAAGGAATACCTGTCAGTGTAATTGCTTTTAACTCCATCATTGCAGCTTATAGCAATGTAGGATTTGTGGTCAGCGCTTTTGAAACATACAAAATTATGATGAAATTCAGTTTGACTCCGTCATCTTCTACATGCAGTTCTCTCCTTATGGCTTTGTCCAAGAAAGGAAGGCTGCAAGAAGCGAGGGAGGTTATGGATAGAATGATAAAGAAGGGTTTCCCTGTCAATATAGTGGCATTCACAGTGCTCCTAGATGGTTATTTTGGAATAGGTGACATAGTGTCAGCTCAAAGTTTGTGGGCAGAGATGGAAGGGAGAGGGATATCTCCTGATGCTGTTGCCTTCTCGGCCTTCATTGATGGACTTTCTAAAGCAGGATTTGTGGAGGAAGCATATAATGCGTTTCTGGAAATGTTAAGCAAAGGTTTTGTTCCAAATAATTTCGCATACAATTCATTGATCGGGGGGTTTTGTAACTGCGGAAAATTGAGTGAAGCGTTGAAGTTGGAGAAGGAGATGAAGCAAAGGGGTCTTCTCCCTGATATCTTCACCGCCAATCTTATCATTAATGGGTTCTGTAAACAGCGTCGAATGAAGTCAGCAATTGACACTTTCATGGACATGCACCGGACCGGTTTGACACCAGATGTTGTTACTTACAATACCTTGATCAGTGGGTACTGTAAGGCATTTGACTTAGTCAATGCAGATGATTTTGTGAACAAAATGTATGCCAGGGGGTGGGACCCTGATATTTCAACGTATAATATACGCATCCATGGATTATGTACTAGTCGGAGGATGAGTCGAGCTGTGATGATGTTGGATGAGCTTGTTTCGGCAGGTCTTGTACCAGACACAGTTACATACAACATCATGTTGAATGGTGTTTGCATTGACGTATTGGATCGCGCTATGATCTTAGCTGCAAAATTACTTAAGATGGCTTTTATTCCGAATGTTGTTACAACTAACTTGTTATTGTCTCAACTTTGCAAGCAAGGGCTGCCTGAGAGGACTTTGATGTGGGGGCAAAAGTTGAGTCAGATTTCTTTCAACTTTGATAAAATAACTTATAAAATACTGGACAGAGCATATCGTAACATTCAAGAGGAAGCTGAATATTCTAGACAAACATCAGAAAAGTGTCTCTTTCTGGACTTCCTCATGTATATTACTTATGACTATTTGTACAGAGATAGGATTCATGGTGAAACAAGTCAATCTTCTTTTAAAATGATTAATAGTGGGTCTAATGGTTGCAAAGTGACTGACATAATAAATTTATAGCACTTCAGTTGTTGAATGTGAGAAAATCTTTTTTATTATGAGTGGAGGTTGATGCCAATTTTGAAGATTTCCCGGAGCTTTTTATTATGAGTGGAGGTCGATGCCAATTTTGAAGATTTCCTGGAGCAATATATGTGTCTGCTGTGGGAATAATTGTGGGAAATATTTGAGGAATTCAGCTGACATGGTTTTATTGAAAACCATTTACTGCTTTGATAAGGCACACAATATGGTTCAGGATGGAGGGAGCTTCCAGAATAAGGGGAAGTCAGAAAAGTGCAGGGTTGAGGCTGTAAGAAAGACCTATGATTTAACTGAAGATATGGTCCTAAATAGAGTGGAATTACAAAAGGAGATTTATCAATACAGCCTGAAATATTGGGTCATAACTCCTATTGAGATGAGTTGCGTTGGTGGTAGAGGAGCTCAGGAGGGAAATATGATAGCCACATAAAAATAGTTAGCATTTCCTATAGAAGGACTGGTTTTATCACCAGCATTCTTTTCTATATAATCTTGTTTAGGTCTTTACTAACAGAATGCAGAAATCATATTCTCAAACTGAATTGATGGTTGAGTTGAAACTAGTGACATGATCAGGGTGGGACCATAAAGTGGAATGTAAAGTGCCTTTGTTAGTCTTTTAGAACTGATGAAAACGGTTGCTTATGGTCTGTTTGTTGGCAAGCACCTGATGTTATGGCAAGAAGCATTGCCACTGAGAAGCTGTCTTTGGAGGTAATCTGTTTATATTTTCTGGATTAGCAACATGGTCATATTACACTTGTATATCTTTGTATTAATTTTTTTTGTTTTTTTTCCCTAGTTGGTACTCACACACCCCCCTCCAAGGAATTGTTTGCACCTAGCAAGAATTGATCCTGAGACCTGATGCTTCATGAGGCACCAGGGCTCAAGTCTTTTCCAATTAGGTCAACCCCTTGGGGTTTATATCTTTGTATTAATTCATAACAGTTATTCAGGGTTTGGGCTATAGAGAGGTGCACATGTTAGCAGAGGCGCATATGTGCTGAGTAGCTCATTGAACAGGTAAAAGATTTTGAATGCAATGTAATATTGAAATTTTGTGCAGCCAAAGAATTCTCGGCATCTTTTAGAACAGTCTCAATTGTGAGATAATGGAACATTTTTTATTTTTGTGAGAATGTTTAGAATACTTGGTTTAATATTTATACATTTGATTATCAACTTCATTTTATTTGTTTTAAATTGCTTTTAACCATGTCAATCAGTGTATTGTGCTGGTTTATACTCTCAATAGCCAACTCTGCATAAAATTTTATATTTCTGATTATTTATGTTTAAAAAGTACATATGCTGTCTTCTTTTTTTTTTGGCAATATATGTGATGCATCTTCAAATTCATTGTCTGGAAATTTATTGCCTTCATCTGGAATCACAAGAAGTGATATGAGTTTATATGGATGCTACATAACAGGCGGAAGATGCTTTATGGTTGTATACATTTACTACCACTGTCAATTAGCTCCTAGTAGAATAGACTTTGATCGCATACGATGCAATGGAGTTTAAGAATCCTACAGGAGATTGGCTGAAACTATGATGATTAGCAAGTAGATGTATCTTCTTCCTTGTACTTTGCTAGTCAGTAACCAGATGTCGAATGATCTGGTATACGGTGTAGTTTACTTTAGTAGTAGATTGCACTAGAGAGTTTTCTCTGCTTATCTGAAGAGAATAAAGAGATTGGTAAAAAAAAGGAAGAAATAGACGACCCAGAACTCTCTCTCCCTGTGGGCTCTAGACTTCTCTAATTTTAACTCAGTTTCTTCACTTTTATGTGGCCATAGGTACAGCTTATTGTCTCTACTTGATTTTTAAGTCCTATTGAAATCCGATGGGGTTACATAGCTTGTAACCTCTGTTTCCGACGTGTTATCCTTGTGGGTTAATCAGATTGTGAAAATATTAGTCGACACCTAGAAATACACGAGGAATTAGATTCAATATTCAAATCAAAGTTCAGTAAAATTTTGTGAGAGGAAGTTATTCCGTGGGTCCTATTGAATCACTTGATAATAACGATATTTTTCTTAGTGTTTTGATGGTCATGAGCAAGGCACAAAATTGGATGCATGACGAGGAAGTACATTGCGAAGCAAATCACAGAACAAGGCAGAAAACATAGTGAATGTGATGTGGAAGAGATACTCATGGTGTGACCAGAGTAGAAGCAAACATCTCAACTTGAGTGGATGGATGATCATTCTTTTAGGGTGTGTAAAGGAATTTGATAAGGGAAAGTGGCCGAAAAGTTGCAACTTGATAATAAATTTTTAATAATGCTTTATTTGGTTTCTAAGGTTTGGTACGTATGGCTGTGAGAAGAATCTTAGTTCTCATTTCTTTGCCTCCATTTTCTTGAAAGGGAATGGAAAATTAGAGAAAAATAATAAAACGAGGTTACACGGACATACTTTCTAGCGAAGTTGAATTATATAACTCCTTCTGCTCCTATATTACTAATCAAATAGTTGAAATAATTTATTGTTTTTAGGCTTGTCCATAGTTATGCGCTTGACTTGATGCATTTATTTCTTTCACAGTGGTGGAGCATAGTGAGAGCGACTGCTGCAAGAAGCAGCTGTTCCGCCTTGGAAGAACCTTGTGGATGCACTGCAGGAATTTTGGTATATTGTTAATCAAATGGTTGAATAATTTCTTGATTTAAGAGGCTTGTCCATAGTTATGTGCTTGCCTTTGCAAATGGAAACTATTGATGCATTTATTTTTCTCGTAGCAGTGGAGCATGGTGAGAGCGACTGCTGCAAGAAGCAGCTGTTCCGCCTTGGAAGAACCTTGTAGATGTGCTGCAGGAATTTTGTTTCTTCCGCAACTCAACTTATTGAAGCTTTATGTAATCTGCATGGGGATAGTCTGTCATCTCATTTTTGTAGGGAAGGTCAGCAATTTATCGTTGGTCATCTAGAAAGTGTGATAATCTGAGCTTGAAGAATTCTATGTATGTTGATTACAGAGATCACAACAATTTTGCAATAGTGCAGTCAATGCCAAATGATGTAATTTCACGATGATTACGAAAATACTACATTTTTTCCATTTCTTGAAATGTGAGAAATGATGTACTTATTTGTTATCTTGTACTCATTTTGAAACTTAGTAATCAAATTGAACACCATAGATGCAGCCGCCTTTTTTTTTATTTTTTATTTTTATTTTTTTTATTTATTTCTATACCTTCTCTGTTCTAAGACAATGTTATCTCGGCAGTTTTACACTCTATACTCTTTAACCCTTCATAATGGGCAAATCCAACCATTGGAAGTTGCACTATTTTTTTATTTTATTATATATATATATATATTATTGTTATTATTTAGTTCACCGATTTTTTGCCAGCAAAATGATAAAAATTTAATTTCAAGAAGGCATGCAAGGAAATCATTTCTTTCCATAGATCTTCCTTCTACTTGAGGCAAACGCAATTACAATAACACCCATACACAAGTCTTCGGGTTCTCATTAGCCAAAGGCGGCAAAATACAAGGAGAAAAAATTAGCTAAAATATGATCTCTCATCACATCATATGTACATAAAAAAAGGTTAAAGTTCTGATTTCAGTCCATTGGCAATTTGGCATGAACACACGGTAAAAATTTCCAATGGCACAAGAAGTTTAGTTCACTTCAATAGTTTCTAAGCTTGCTTTCCCGCTGTATTCTTCCATTGATGACCCCAAAACGAACCCATAACCTTATCGAAGAAACAAAATTGGCAGCAAAAACACTTTTTAAGGGACTTTGGCCCTCTGCATGATCATAAATCTTCTTCTACCGACTCCATCCACAACCTCGCTTAGTTTAGCCAAATGTGCCATCCGCCTTTTTGAAGATTCAGGGGCTCCCGTTTGACTTGACTTCTCGTCCGAGTCAACTGAATCATCATCACATTCGAAACCTTTTTCGGAGGGGCTTCCTTCATCAGAAACTTGGATTATTTGTTTCAAATCCTCCACCACGTGACTCATCATTGGTCGATCCTTTGCACTCTTCAGCAAACAACTGTCTGCTAGTTTTGCAATTCTTCGAGCTGCATTAAGAGAGTACTGATTTTCAAGTCTTGAGTCCATTATCGTGCCAAATTTCTTACTACCAGCAGGGAAGTGTTTCACCCAGTCCAAAAGTTTCTGTTCTGGCTTGGGTAGATTTCGTTCTAATGACCGCCTGCCTGTGAGGACCTCATACAATACCACACCAAAACTCCATACATCGCTCTTGGTTGTCAAATGTCCTGTTTGGACGTAATCTGGAGCAGCATAACCAGATGTCCCGACAACCTAATCACATAATTCAATTTTCTCATGGTCATTCACTAACCTATATATGCACAGTGACATGTTTGACGGAAACTGAAATCATCATGTTACTATTCCAAAATTTGATAATTATATGTGAATAGTTGAGTATAGAATGACACTATATGTATAATTTCAAGTTATTTCCAGAATTTCCCATACAAGTCCAGCATTAGAAATAAAAAATAAAAAATCAAGCCTTCTCAAGCATGCATTGCTTTCCCACACGAAACCAGTATCAAATAATCCCAGGTCAATCCGAACTAATTCCCAATTTCTGATCCCATTCAGGAAAACATCCTTGGTTACCACTCAACATCATCAGAGTGAATGCAGGTCACAAATAAATGAACCTCATGCAACCTACAAAGCTACAGAAGAAATTGATGTACTAACCGCTGTTGAAACATGAGTATGCCCAGCTGTTGGCCCCTCCCTCGCAAGCCCAAAGTCCGAAAGTTTTGGTTTGAAATCCTCATCCAATAGCACATTTGATGACTTGAAATCTCGATATATCACCTAAACCATAAGAAAAAAACAACAGTTGATTACAACAATGAAAAGAACTGATATAAATAACATCCAATATCCCCGTTATTGACAGTAAACCTTGTTCCCTTTTTCATGGGATTAATGACAACCTCTAAAGACTAATGCCTTATAATTGTAGAAAACATAGATATTATTGACAAAATTACAATTATAACGGGCCAATATACCATTTACTCCAAATTACTGTAATAACATTTTAGCTTCATTCAAGCACTAATATAAATCAAATATTGTAAGTTATCAAAAGGTAGTGACTATACAATAGTATCATAGGCAAATAACAGCCAAGGTACCCGTTATCATGAGCATAAAAGTAGCATGGTTTCAGACAACGATACAAGGCCTTTGACCAACCTTTTGCCATACGTCTTAAAGCTTTACCAGTTACAAATTATCATAGTATAGTTAAGATCCTTAATGCACTTCATAGAAAGCATTTTCCAGTTTATTTATATCTTATTTTTCAATTAAAGAGAAAAAATCTCCAGATGAGAAAGGGGGACAAAAAAGAAAAGGAAGGAACGAAAGAAAGATAATCTATATTTAAGGCAAAAGAAATATTGATTAACAAGAAACTTGGTCTGTTTTGTAGCTTTCTTTGATATACAAAATCTTATTTACCAAAAAAAAAAAAGTTAACCAGAGAGGATAATAATGTTAATAATAACAATAAATAAATAAATACTTTGGGATATTCTATAATTGAATTTGCGGAAATTCAACTTATGAAATGTTGTGGATACATCTAAGGAAGTTGTTAATAACAAAACACCCAATGTAACAGGAAGGTGTCCTTTTGGCAATACAACAGTGCATCAAATTTTCTTGCACTCCAGGAGACACATGCAGTGCGCCACTATGGTCAGGAACCCCCTCCCCTTCTCCTACTGTTTTCAGGAGCCTTTGAAAACTACAGGGATTTTAACAAATTAGTTTTGTGTTGTTTCAGAGGATAATGAATAAGCAAATGTAACTGCATTCGTAGAATCATTTTAGGATTTCAGAAAAGGAAAAATCGACACAATTTGTGGATGCGTGTGTGTGTGGTGATGACTCCATCCTTTTGAAGTGACTTCATCTTAAATGGTGACTTTTGTGGTTTCAACTAGAGAAGGGATACTTTTATTTTCACGTGATACCAAAATGCACCACTAAACTTTTGGGCCTCCAAGTGCTAGAGAAGGGATACTTTTATTGTCCTGTGGTACCCAAATGCACCACTACTAATTGATATTGTTGAAATGAAATAAAAAAACTTAGTACAGACAATATCACATGATGAAGTGAAATCATATCAATTGAAAATATTATGAAATTAAACCTGGACTTCTAGTTCTTCATGCAAATAAGCCAATCCTTGAGCCGCTCCAAGCACTATTTGTAACCTTGTTTGCCAAGGAAGAGGTGGATGAGCCCTACTAAAAAGATGATCTTCCAAGCTTTTGTTCGGCATAAACTCATATACAAGCAGCCGTTGGATCCCTCTTTCACCATCTACAGCACAATATCCAATAAGTTTAACAAGATTCGGGTGCTCCACGACACCTAGAAATTGTACTTCTGCTACCCATTGTTTATGACCCTACATTAAAAAGAAGGAAGCATGACATTGTCAGAACAAATAGATCGACCATTTATAGCATCAAAATATGTAAACAGAATGATCAGTTGGACAAATAAATGCACAGTTCCAAAGACAAGTAGCCAGCATTTCAGGAGGTGCATGCATTATGTGACAAACAAATTTCGAGGGGATCATAATCTATACACACAAAATCTTATAAAATACATCATGTTTTACATTACTTTTGAGACATGAAGTTGAGTGTGATAGGAAACATGATAATTTACATTATCACCATATCAAGGTAAACTTTATTCATGTACTATTGAGAACATCATGATAAATGTATCTCATGTTTAAACAAGACTTGCAATCAAATGGATGCCCTCAAATGTTGTCATTGAGGCATAGCGGGCTAAATTAGAACATAATGATATACAAAGGAAACCATTGTTTGTTTAAATTTGTAGCAGAACAAGAAATCCACAAATTAAGAGTAGCTACAGATGGTTGATACAAATAGTTCCGTGGAACCAAAAGTAGGAAGATGGAAAATTTGAGGAATTCCATCAAGGATTTGCTAAAACACTGAAGTATAAACAGCAAAGGAAAACCACTTTGGAAGGTGTTCGCAAAACAATGCTTGTTTTACCGGTCCTCTTGTGGCCTCTTTGGCTTAGGAGTTGGTTTGTGTGGCCAGACCAACCTCTAGGTCTAGAGTTTGAGGATTGGTAGAGAAGAAGAAAAACAATGCTTGTTTTGAGGTAAATTGATAAGTTCATTGATGAGCAACAATATTTGGAAGAATAGATTTAAGGGGTATTCTACCATGAATAGAAAAGAATCAGTAAACTAACTCAAAGCATCAAGTCCGTTTCCACGGAAATCGTTCTTTAAACAAACAAAGACAGTGCCAAAGTAAATTCAGAAAGCCAAAGCTATGGCCATACATGTGCATTCCTCCACACTTATAAAATTAGTACAGATGGATTACATCCAATATCTCTTGAAATGTATATAAAATATTTGAAAGCACCAAGATTAGGACAGTTCTCAAAGAGAACAACCAAGGCTGTCAATTGTACTGAATATTAGCTTATTTAATGAGGAAGAAATCAAAACAAAATTCATGTATAATAAATAACTAAAATAAAAGGATCATACTGACTAACATAGATAATACAAATGAATAAAGATTAAATAAAATCAAATCAAATCAAATTTGGTCCAACATTTGCAATCTTAAACTTACTGAAAATAACCAAATACATTAATCCCCATATTCCATGCCTTGTCTAGAAAAATTTCTTAGCTAGCTTAACCGACAAATTACTTTATAAGATCATACTCAAAGCTCATACCTGATAGCCATCGCTATTGAGCTTTTTAATAGCAACCACAATAGGATCGCATTTCTTATCAACAGGCTTGATTGAACCCTTATATACACTTCCGAATCCGCCTTCTCCAATTTTAAGTAACCTATTGAAGCTATTAGTGGCCTGCTTTAGCTCCGAGAAGGAGAAGACTCGCAAGTTATGAGCCTTCTCTTCATACAATTCCGGGATACTACGCGGCGAAGGTGCTGAACATGAAGACTTGGTCACCCTATCAGACACATCAGATTTATTCTGGGTTTTCAATTCTGGCGCTGATCTTTGTTCCCTAGTACTGGTTCTATCATTTCTATCCTTGAAGTAATAGAAACACTTCATTTTTTTTTTTCAAAAAACAGTAAAAAGCTTTCAAGATTCACACATCAAGTATGCCACTGAATTCCTGAGGAAAAGAACAGATACCCAATTGAACAAGAAAAAGAGTATTAACATCTATTTGATGATTTGAACATCATAAGGAGAGAGAGATAGGTATTTTGTTAGAAATAAAAAGAAACCCAATTACAAAACTGAGGAAGTTCGATAGAAATCTTTGAAACCAATGAAAGCCCAAATAAGAAAATTTGTTTAGTGAACAAAGAATATACCAAATTCAACAAGACAAAGAGTACTAAATTTTATTTGAACATCACAAGAAGAGGGAGGGAGGGAGAGAGAGAGAGTTTTGTAAGGAACAAAAAGAAACCCAATTACAAAAACAGATAAAATTTGATAGAAAACATTGAAACCAAAGAAATCCAAATAAAAAAATTTGTCGAGTGAACAGAAAATGGATTGATAGCAACACCAAAGATAGAGAGATATATATCACATAACATCAACACCCAGATGAGAATTAAGTAGAAAAGTGTGAACAGAGTTTCAAATCACAACACCCAGATGAGAGAGACACATGGAAAGTGAAATTCTAGAAGGAAAATGATACCCAGATGGGAAAGTACAGGGACAAGTACAACTACCAGAAAGAAAACGTTAAAAAAAAAAAAAAAAAATCAAATCAATCTATCTATAGATTCTATACCCAAATGAGAAAAACAAGCAAAACGTTAGAGACAGAGCATGTGAAATATGAATTTAATAGAAAATAAATCAAACATGTGGAAAACCTCAAAAAAAACTGTATCTTTTCTGGATTTGTTCAACTGTTTAGACTCTTACAAATTTTCAACGCTGTTGGTTAGAGAGAGAAAACGGACCTCACATTGATTCCTTCTCGTCCTAAGGTCCTCTTTGGTTCAAGTCTGCAACTATGCACTAGAAAGCTATATATACTGATTTTGGCTAATCTTCTTCTCCGGAAACGTTTTATTTATTTTTTTTTTCTTTTAAAAAAGAAAAAATATATATTTGAGTGTTATGTGCCTAAAATTTAATGGGTCCCACGTCGAACAGAGCTACCTGGTACTAGAACAAGACTTTCTTTTGTCTAGATGTCCACCAAGTATATGTCTCAGATTTTTTACGATTGGATCTTTTATTATTATGTTTGTAATAACAAAATTTATGTTCTGCACTCAAAATTAGTATTTTCAACTGCTTTAATATGTTCTTTTTGGAAAAATTAGGTTGAACACTCAAAATTAGTATTTTCAACTGCTTTAATATGTTCTTTTTGGAAAAATTAGGTTGAACACTCAAAATTAGTATTTTCAGTATGCTTTAAATATGGTTTTTTTTTTTGCAAAAAAATTACTGTACGTTTTTTCAATTGAAAAAATGTTTTTTTTTTTAATTAAGAAATAAAATGTTCATTTAACTTTTATATTCTTACTTTTTATTTGCAATTTTTTATGAGGAAAAAAAAAAAGGATACAACCTTTCTTTAAAAACACTTTCACAATTCACAATTACTTTTAGATTCATTATTGTGATCGAGATAATTGTAACTTTTTATAAAATAAAAAAATTAAAAAGCAAATAAAGTGTATAAGACTTAGAATGTAAATATCAAATTCCTTTTTCTATTTACAAATTTGAGGAGTTGTTCTTTTTCCTTTTCTTATTTCTTTATTTAACAAATTAGGAGAAACCAATAATGCTAAGTTTTAAAGCAAACTCCATTATATGGAACACAAAATGATTGTTTTCCTCTAAAGAGTATGTATTTGAGCTGATTTATTATCACATTTTCCTATTTTTTCACACAAATATAAAAAGAGGCAATATAAGGTTTAAAGAGTTCCCCCAAGTCTTTGAATTTTCAAAAAATAGACATTTTATTCACTAGTGTGCAAAGACCATAAGTTGCTTCCACCTATTATTTAGGATTACAATTTCTTTTTAACTTCATAAAAAAATTATATATCCTTATACATTTATTATATTTTAATATTCTTTTATGCTATATATATCTTATGCCTATTGTGCCTCTTTCATGTTCTTGAAATAAGAAAATACCCTTGTGCATTTAATTTATAGAAAATTTTCATTGTTTAAAAATGACGTGTGTGTGAAAAAAATCACTATTTTTCTTCTGTCTGAGTGCTGGGGTGCATTTTCATGTGTAGTTACAGAATTTTAAAAAAACTATTATTAATCATTAAATAGTAAATCATTAATCACCCAACATTGAAGCAATCTAATTTTTCATAAAATTATCAAATTGAATCATTAATTATTAAAGAAAACTATATGATTATTTAACTACCCAAAAGAACTGTATATGTATATAAAAACATATTATTCAATGTCTAAAAGATAAAGTTCACAAAACTTTAGAAATGCAAACTATAAGCAAATAAAATTTCACAATAATACTAAAAGTCTTGGTAATTTTCTGACTTTCAATTTCAAAATAGAAAATATATCATTATGCCATAAAATAAATTATTCAAATTGAATATTGAAAATAACAAAATAAATGAATTTTTTACTTTTTGGCAGGGTAAATAGTTGTTTTATAAATTGACGTTGAGCCTAAATTAATACAATTTAATTTTTACAGATAGTCAGTCACAAACGAGTTAGAATTCACTTGAATGTGGACGATGAAATTAATCAAATGTCCTATCATATTGGTTTAATATTTTCAACACATAGATGAAAAAGATTTGAGGGGTTTCGATAGAGCCAAGTTATTTTCTTTAAATTTTGTCCTCTTCTTAATTTTTGATCCATTTTCTTCCTTGGGTTAGGTTTGCAGATAGACTTCTACAGGAAACTATATATATATATATATATATATATATATATATATATATATATATATATTATATAATATAATATGCAGATGGACTTTGCTGGGCACGCCAAGTTCAGTGATTGGGTGCTATGTGAATTAGTGTCACCGTCATGCCTGTTTATGCCTGTTTGCATTTGACACGAGATTTGTATGAAATCCAATTGAGAATTATACTAATGAATATACAAAAGAATATATATTCGTGCATATATTTGATTGGTCATCATCTGTTGGCAAGTATTTAGCTATTGAAGTGTAATTGCAAAGACTTTTGACTAGCTGAATTAAATGACAGGTTAGGGAGCAGTAATTTCCACCCTAAATGACGGTTAGGGAGCAGTAATTTCCACCGTATTTCATGTACTACTGTACTTTAAGCAGTTTTGCCAGTTTAGAAAAAGTTCCATTCACATTCACTCTCAAAATATACCACTAATGCATGTGAGACATGCATTATTCTATTGGGTTTTTTTTTACACAACTTATGCATGTCACACATGAATTTTTTTTTTTTTTTTTTTTTTTGTGAATATACACTTGTAATATTGTTCCATTCGAACACACAACCTCTTTTTTAAAGGAAAAATGCCGTACCATTTGAACTAATACCGTATTTATATTTTCAAATCAGTAAAACTTGTCCGACTTTCGGACTCTAAATCATTATTATCCTAGTAATAATTACTTGGTTATTTAACCAAGAATCAAAACATTGCTCTCCATAGAGTATTACTTACCCCTCCATGTCTTCTCCTCCTTGTGTAAGGGAGGAGTCTCTTTCTATTGCTTGAATTTCCTGGAAAACAGAAGAAAAGTCTCTTTCATCTTTGACTACATGTGCTAACACCCAGGGACAGAGCCAGGATTTCGAGTGAGGGGGGCACCGGACACGGTTCAAAAAAAAATATATACGGAATATAAATATATATATATATATATATATATATATATATATATATATTATAACAACTATAAAATTCAAAAGATGAAGAAGAAGAAAATTATTCAAATATGCACGTTATAAAAAATATATACATGTGAGCGAACTTTAAAAGAAAAAAATTAAAGAGTTTCAATTGAGGAAGTGAGTGTGACAAATGTCGTTCCTTCTTTTGTAGGTTATGAAGATCAATGTGAAGGGACTGAAACCAAAAAAAATTGATGACATTCTGGAGATTGATGTCGATGACTGTGAGGATATGGAATTTGAAGGAAGTAATGTAAACTATCATAAGGAGGTAAATTGTGCTTCTATGATGAATCCTAAACCGAAACTGAAACTTGACTCGGATCAATAGCTAACTTCTAGTGATACTGATCCAAATGATGAGGATTTTGCTGCAGGTAACTATGATTTCCGTGTTAGTATGGAGGAATCGAGCTCTTCCTCGGAGGAGTTTGAAGAAGAAAACCAAGTGTTCGAGGAGATTGATGAAAAAAGAGAGTGGGGGCAGTGAAAGGAGCGATACACCTTCTTCAAAGAGGAGGGCATGTTGGGAAAGAGGAATCCGCTAAAGCTTGATTTTTCAACCAGGGGAAATGTGGAGAAAAGTGATAATCATTTGGATGGAGTTCATGAAGAAACCAAAGAAAGAATTAAGTAATTTTAAAAGTGATGACAGTGATAAACAAGAGTTGGGGGAAGAGAAAGGAAAATCTGGTAACAAGAGACAGAAGAAGCATTGTTCTTCAACCTCGACCCTGGACATCTTAAGTGAAGGGTGATAAAGAATCAAATGGAATTTCGGAAGGAAATGAGAAGAGTAATAATGATAAGTTCAGTGTGTTGGGAGAGATGACAATAAACAAACACAGCGGAATAATTTTTCTCCCTATATGCAAGCAAATATAGTATATCTCTACTTTTATATGTGCTGAAAATAATAGAAAACAAATCAATCACACCAAGCCACAAAACACAAGCAATTTTTTACGTGGAAAACTTCCCCAGTGTGAGGAAGAAAAACCACGGGACCTAGTCCAGTTAAAATCTCCACTATCAACAAAATAATGGGTACACAAAGTCTTCTCTAATCGCAATTAGAGGCTACAAAACATCTCATCAAGATAGCAACAATCTTAGCAAAAAAACAAAGAGAATTGGAGAGAAAAATACCAAAACCCGGTTACTGTTCACGGGCACGAATCACTGTTCCCGAGCTCAAAATCCGATATTCACCGTTCAGATTTTAACTCATTGGGTCGTAAACCTCACATCCAAATTTCAGCTCGATCGGACCACGGACAAAGCGGGATCGGACGTTTGATGAAATCTGGACAGAATTGAAAAACCTGCATTTTTCTACCAAAACCCGGTTACTGTTCACGGACACGAATCACTGTTCCTAAGCTCAAAATCTGATCTCCACCGTTCAGATTGTGCGTCACTGAGTCGTGAACCTATCCTCCAAATTTCAGCTTGATCGGACCACGGACGAAGCAGGATCGGACGTTTGATCAAACCTGGACAGAATGGAAAAAACCTGCGTTTTTCTTCTCTTTATTCTTTCACTTGCGGCTAACCTCTCTCTTTTTATACTAACTTCCTTAGGGCTTTCTTTTCCCTAAAGGCTGGGCATTAGGCTTTTAATAAAACCCACTTGGGCTTTCCTCCATATAGAAGAAAATAAACCCACAAATCTCCCTCTTTCCGACTATATGGAGGGAATCGCCATCCCGACAATCAAACAACAAACTTCAAGCTTCTCCCTTGGTAATGTCTTTGTCAACATATCAGAGTCATTATTATCAGTGTGAACCTTCTCAAGTTCAAGTAACTTATTGTTCAACGCATCTCTAATCCAATAGTATCGTACATCAATGTGCTTAGATCTTGCATGGAAACTGGAATTCTTAGCAAGATGAATAGCACTCTGGCTATCACAAAACAACACATACCTCTGCTGCTTGAAACCAAGTTCTCTCAAGAACTTCTTTGCCCATAAAAACTCTTTAGTCGCTTCCGTTGCTGCAATAAACTCTGCTTCTGTCGTAGAAAGAGCAATACACTTCTGAAGTCTCGATTGCCAACCTACAGCCCCACCTGCAAAAGTGATCAAATAACCCGAAGTAGACCTACGAGTATCCACATCCCCTGCCATATCTGCATCTGTGTAGCCAACTAACAA